CACCCCGAGCCATTCATCGTGCAAAGCACCATAAAACCCGAGCTCTCTTCCTGTCTCAGAGACCCATCAATTATGGAAATTATACCTGCCCAAGGCCATGGACACATTGTTTTATTAAATATCCGATGGATAAACTCTAGGCTCTTAAAAATATCTTTTCACTTCTCATGTGGCACACAACTCCTGCACAGGGAAGGCTACCCCGATGCACCTGACCTTTCATTAGTCACTCTCAGCAGTTTGACTCGTTCCAAGGTGCCTGTTCAGCAGGAGGGAGACCCAGCCTACCTGTTCCCCTCCCTTCCCTATGGGAAGATGTTGGTGTTCTCATAGGGGATGTGTGGCTCCTGTGAGTATGGAGAGCAAAATCTTGCCATCTCTTCCCATTTGGAAAATCCACTGGGAAGCTTTCTGTCTACACCTATCTAGGCTCTGTTCTTTCTCCCCAGCCGAGTGGCTAAATCTTTTGCCCCTCAGCACATTCCATCTTGGGTGAGCATGTGAGAACTTCCTAGGACCATTTCCTAACTGGAAACAAGAGGAACAGTTATAGCCAGATAGATAACAAGAGAGGGGCTCCAAATGGAGCTTTGGGGTCTGGACACCATGTAGCTCTTGCTTTTGCCATGTAGATTGCTGTTGTTTATGCCCAAACACCCAAGTCAAACCAATAACAGGCTTCTCCCATGTCTACACCTGTAAGCAACCCAAGAGCGATTCAAAGTCATCTCTATGTGCCCTATGACTTTGGTCTGCACAGGGGCTGGCAATCTTTTTTCTTGTCCTAAATGCCATCATCAGTGGGCAATGTATTATCAACTTAAAAGTTCCCTTGCTGCAGGTATATTGAGTCCCACCTATGGTTGCCTTACCAGCACATTTCATGGGCTTCATGGAGCCTGAGGACCAGATGTTCTCTACCCCATTAAGTGTTCTAGAGCAGCTCAGACAAGTATAACAATATGTTTTGTCTCCTTGGGCAGGGAGCAGGTGTCCTGGGCCCCCATTTTGGATGCCTCCAAAAGGAACTCAAAGCTTGAACTCCATAAACAATTCTGAGGCCATTAATTAGTGCCCTCCAAAGAAACATTAGAATTGGGACACAGGGCCAACCTCTCTGCCATGACCTACCCACCCCCGCCACCCCCCAGTGTTAAGTCACTCACTTCGTCCTGAGACCAGAACAGACGAACTTCACAGATTCAATTCCAAACCTTCAAAATTCCCACAGCTATGAACTAAGAGGTGTTGTGCTTTCAGAGTGCAGAGGCTGGCAATAAAAGAACTGAACAGAAGGGTAAAAACAGGCCAATACGTAGCTAGGCAGCTTCTGGGGCCAGAAAATCAGCCCTGTGAAAAGCAGAGAAAATTGCAAAGGGATTTTGTTGGGCTTCTTGACACCCCATACACAAAAACCTTTGAGGGACACCAAGGCATCCCAGGAGAGGAACTACAAAAATTCCTAGAAAATAGGTCCAATGATGTTTTCCCTCACCTGGAACAGACAGCTGGCAAGAGTTGACCAGCATCTTTCTTCCCAGGTGTAAATTGCTCTAGAGGTGGCACAAGGTACCACCTCCACCCCTCACCCCCAGCCAACTCCCATCTTCCTCAGCCACTCTGCCCACCAGCCCTCCCATCTAGCACAATGGCTGAACGCTGTTAAAAGTGAGGCTTTGCCAGGCAAGGCCACCAGGGAAGTAAAGACACAAACACATTCAACACAGCACCCTGTGCATATTTAACAATATATATTTATAGATATTTTCTAGATCAGTACATTCAGATTTTAACTTTTTTCTTCACAAACAGAAGAACTCTTACAATAGTAGACTTTCTAAAATAAATACTATTAAAATAGAGCTTCAAAATAAATATTCTATACAAAGGAAACCTTCTGTGGTGACTTCTGTGGTGGGGTGAGAGGGGGCTACAGTGAAAAAGAGAAACTGAGCAGGAACATGGTAGGATGGGAGCCCTGTGAACCCCAACTGTAGGACAGCGAGACAATGCCAGAGCAGACAATGCAGGTGGCTACCCACAGCAAGGAATGGCAAGACTTGTCACCAACTGTCACAGTAAGCAGAGGGCATGAAAATGCTTACCAAAGGCATCAACTGTAGGCTGGCAGGTGGCCCTAACAAGCTGGCCAGTGCAAAGCAGTGCTGCTCCAATCCCAGACTCTTCCTGGGGTGACACAGGAGAACAGGGTGCTACAAGCTGACCCTGTGCACAACCTCAGACAAGCCACCACATAGCTGGGCCTTACTTGGACAGCACAGCTGGCTGTAGACTCCACAACACTGGAAGACCACCTGTGCCTACAAAAGGGCCTCCATCTTCAGCAGACCCATACAAGGGCACAGTGGAACAAGCAGCTTGAGACCCCCTACTAGTGCCCCAGGTCCTGCTAAGGCCCCTAAGCCCTGTTCCAGGCAGAACCAGCACCCACCACCTCACGTGTAAGAGAAGTGGGAGCCTGGTGGCACTTATCAGGGTGAGCCATAATGTAGTGAGCAAGCCATGGGTAACAAGGAACAATTAGCCAGAAGCAGCTACAGAAATGTATCATATTTGAACCTGTGACTCCTTAGTGGTCCTTGCCTGATGTGGAGCTGGGGGTCCAGGGTGTTAGTCCTGCATAAGCCAGCTGTTTCCTGTGATCTGTCAAAAAGCCAGATAATAGCAGTGCTTCGGGATCACTGCACAATAGAACCAGGAGAACCTAGGCTGCTTCCTTTGCTTCCTTCTCTCCTGTCTTTGAACATGAGTACCGGGCACCCAGTGGACTCCCAGGGCAAGTCCCACCAACATCAAACTGGCAGATGAGACACAAGCCAAAGCAGGGTGGGCGGACATTGAAAGAGCAAACCAAAACCCACAAAGATCCGTGTTTACAACTATGTACACAAAAAGGGTTCAGTGGTGCCTGGAAGCAGGGTCAGTGTGGAGCAAGTATGTGTATGTCTTGTATTGTGTGTACATGCACACATGTGCATGCACAATCTATGTCCATTAGCTCTGCACAGAACACATGTATGGACCACCAAGCTCACCAAAGTGCAACTTGCCACTGGATCAAGTTTCCCAAGGAGACAAATTAAGGGAAGGACCCTGGGGAGAAGCATCGCAGGGGCAGGAGACAGAGGGTCCTCTCTATCCACCCCAGCACACCTCATCTGAGGCAGCATCTCCAGTCCCTTCAGTATGCTTCTGATACATTCAATTAGGAAAAGTGGTTGGCTGAACGTGGTGGTTGCTCCCTTCCCCTCCCATTGTGCAACATTCATCCTGCATCCACTGCAATGGGGGAAAGGGCTACAACAGTCTCAATGCAGATGCAGTACTCTATACTAACCTTTTACAAGCTAGCCAATGTTACATAAATAAAGCTGGGGGGTAAAAAAGCCTCCCTTCCCTCCACTCAATAAATACCTATGGTTACAGTTAACTTAGTCTAAATCCTAAGATGTCACTACTAGTCTCCAGAAGAGGATAAATAAAGTCCTTGGGAGGCCTTGGGGACACGCCCATCACAGCAACTGAGGCCTGGGGGAGGGTAACAAAATACCACACAAAGCACAAATCCCCCACACCACAGCCGGAGGACCAGACACACTACAGCTTGTGCATGCAACAAGTGAGTACCAACTGGACACGCTGTACTCTAGAGTCCTTTAGCACCTTGACCAAGAGCTGCCATGTGCTGGGGGCTGCCAGAGGCAGGTGCTGTGGCTGTGCACAGGAACAGGGCTCAAATGCAGTGGTCCCTAGAGACGTTGGCCCCTCAGTCTCCTTTCTCTCTCTCTCTCTCTCTCTCTCTCTCCTTACCTGCCCACCCCTACTTTTTCCCCTCCCCCCAGGCTTCCTATCACTAAAGCAGACTCGTGGCTCATCCTATTTACATGAAAGATACAAATATTACTACACCAAAGGCTGTGAGAGCAAGCAGCAGAATCAAGAGGCGGGAAACTCTGAACCCAGCTCAGCTCTGCCACCACCATGCCAATGGAAAGTGCTGCCTCTGCCTTCTGCTGCTCAACCCCCTTCTTGGTGTTAAGGGGGATTGTGCTCCTTCAGGTTGCACGCACCCCAGATTATGAAATCAGCCCTTCCTGGGGGTGGCCCAAAAGGAAGCAAGTTGTTGTATTACTTTTTTAAAACACTGGGTTCAGCATCGGGTTTCATTATTTTATATATAACCAAAAAAAAAAAAAAAAAAAAGACTGGAGCTGGGGACCACAGCCAAAGACTCAGTGGCAAAACAGTGTTTGGTCTCGCCTCTGCTTGCTGCCTTGTGAAGTTTCTGGGAGGGAATCTGAGCAGGGAGAACTCAGGAACTGTAGCAGGCAGGCCAGTCTGTGACTCCAAGGACGGCATGATGAGCAAGGTATCTCCCAGGCAGCAAATTGGAGGGTGAGCCACCCACTGCACACAGCTCAGCTCCTGAATCCAGCCAGTGGCTCCAGCAAGAAAAGGTCAACCCCGCACTCCGAGACTGTGCTCATTGCTTTACAGGGGGTTCCCACAGCTGTACAACAGGGTCTGCAAGGGTGTTCAAGGCCTTCCCCAAAATGCTAACGGCAGGTACGCATGAAGTGAGCAGGGGAAGGAGAAGAAGGTACGGAAGTCAAGACTCCTAGAATTCTCCAAGGTACTCTGGTGACCCAGTCCTCACAGGCAGGTTGCCAGAGAATGAAAGGGGTGGAGGAGAGCAAGGATGGGGGCTGGGAAGGATTTCTGGCAGCTCTGACTTCCGGTGTGTCCATATCCATGTGTCCAATCTTCCTGAACCATGTCCCACTCTGCCTCGGTCTGTCACACACCGGATTCCGGGGCCCCATGGAAACCCCAAGGTGCTGCTGCTTCCTTCTGAGGGAGCAAGGTGGGCGAGTGCGTGGTGGTCCCCATTTCTCCCCAAGCTGGAAGCAGCAGGAGGAATGGACAGCTCAGCAAAGCCAGCCTCAGGTGGCTGCCAGAAATACACCACATCCCACTGGCCCAAAGCCTCAGAAAGGCTTGTCAGGTCTGGTGGCCTTGGCATCTCCTCCACCACCAGCCGCCTTGCAGATGACACTGTTCGTGTGCTTGCAGCGGCAGCCAGGGCGGCGCACACGGTCATAGCCACGCTGGGCCAGCTTCACGCAGCCGGTGGCAGGAAGGTAGCAGAGCAGGCAGGGCAGCACCAGGGATAGGGCTCCCATGAAGGACCAGCGGGCGCAGCAGTTTGAGTGAGAGCAGGAGCAGGGGTGGTCGGCGCAGGAGCCCTCATCGTCCTCATTGGTGCAGTGATAGAAGACGCCCTGCACGAGGCACATGCACGTGCCATAGTTGACCAGGGTTTGTGCCGAGCACAGACACTCCTGGTTACAGACCCAGCAGGATGGTAACGTCCGAGGGGACGCACACTCCTTGCACTTACACTTTCCGCATGCCTCACACAGCAAGAAGTGCTTGTCCAGCTCTGGTGGGGCTGCTGGGCCCTTGAAGTCCAGCGGCTTGCAGTGGACTACCTTGGGTTGGATGCGCACGGCCCTGGGTGAGGCCTGGTCGGCCATGGGCGGTGGGGCCATGTGGTCCAAGAGCCGCTGGTCAGAGGAGGTGCTGCTGCTACTACTGACAGAGCTGGGGCGCCCGCTGAAGGAGATCCAGTGATGGGTGACGTCCTGGTCACAGCGGGCAGGTGTTGGGGCCAGCTCAGGGGCCCCAGCCCGGGACCGTTTAGGGCCAGTGGGAGGTACCAGGCCAGGGTTGTCTATGTAGTCATTCTCCACGTGGCTGGTCTTCATCTGGTCGATAGGGAGGATGGTGAGTGGGTGTTGGAGCCTGCTGTGGGGCATCCGGCTGTCAAGGAGGGGCTGGACCATGACTGAGCTGGTAGTCAGGGGCACGCTCTGTGGGATTGGGGGATCCATGGGGTCAGAGGTCCTGGATGGCACCAAGAACAGGCTTCTAGGGACCCTGAAGGGGAAAAAGGAGAGAGTAGATTTCCAGGTGTCAGTGTCCAACCTGACAACCGCCCACCACCCATCAGGTCCTCAGGAGTCCACCCAAAACAAATTAAATTCTTCCTCAGTGGACTTAGCAGCCAGTCCCTAACAATAGGGGCCATTTATGACAGCAGTACCACCAACAGTGGGAAACAGGGTGGAAGGAACTCTGAAGGGGCAGTATACAAGGTCCAGGGCCACAGCATGTAGTGTTATCTCCCCTCTGAGCTCTAAGTCACCTGTCCAGAATCACAGGACCATGAGCCAGACCTAAGCAGCCCAAGTTCATTCTCATCACCCACAAACACACTTCCTTACTTCAGAGCTTAGATTTAGAATCAAACCAAGTCTGGGTTTTCACTGGGGTGTGAGGTTTTGGCTGTGCATGAATTTTTAATCTCTGTACCCAGGCCTCAGTTTTCCTTCTGTGAAATGGGCTCTTGCAGAGGATGAAATGGAAACATGTTCTTCCCAGCATCCTGCCCGATGCATGTTAATAAGTACTTGATTTTTATTCACCTCCCCATAACATAACCACTCTGTCTCAGCCCAAACAAGCTGGGGACAATGTGATGTACCTAAAGAGCCAGCGCCTGTGTGTTCTCCCCTGGAGTGTGTCAGCTCAAGAAACAGAAGCCTCTGCTCTGCAACAGGCAGAAGGATACCTGCACATCTGGGGTATCCTTCCTGCTGCCACTCCTACAAGCAGCAATCTTCAAGCTGCTAGTAGCCCCTAGGCAGGTGAGCTTGACAACCTGGATGAGCAGTCCAGGGTGGTTCCCCCCGCCCCATCTGCAAGTACCGAGCTAAACATTAGGCCTCAAGGCTGCTCACCAGAAGCGCAGAGCCAACCCCGGTTCAGTTTCTCATTTCACTGAGGGAGTGCAATTTTCACTTGGAACCCAGCCAGAGATTCAACTGCAGTGCCTGACATGGAACCCCAGGAAGTCACTTAAATCAAAGAGCGGAAACGGCTTGGTGCAAATTTAGAAAGTGCACATTGTTTTCTATTAGAAGTGCCGTTTCCTTGCCTGCTGACCTTTACACTGGGAATTCGGCTGGAGATCAATTTAAAGAAATAGCAACAGAAGGCCACGGCCTCTACTCAGGGGGATCTGACCTGGGCTCTGACGTTAAAGACTAGATCCTAGAAGATCCCACCCCAAACTTAAGAACCCTGGGAGACTGGAGGCAAAGAAGAGGAAAGCTGTGTGTGTGTGTGTGTGTATGCTTTAAAAGGGTCATTCTGAATGTTATGGGGTTTGAGTTCTTCTAGCCCTCATTGGGACTGCTGAGCCCAAGGGCCCCCTGCCATTGTCTGAAAGGGACACATTTGGTGCAGAGGGATGCCAGTTGGCTGTGCCTGGGACTCCATCACAGCTCAGCAGCACATGGGAGAATAAACGGGCAGATGAAGCCAGCACTCAGGGAACTGTTCTTTTCCCACCTGGAGACAACAGTCTGATCAGAGATGGTTACATTGTTGGGGAAGGGGAGGTGTGTGTAGAGGCTGCAAGTAGCCAAAGCTACAGAGCTAGTTCTAACTGAAAAAGTTCAACTAGCAGATGGGGGGGGGTATGCAAAGGGCTCTCTTCCGTTGTAGCATCCAGTTGGCAAGGGTCAATGCTCCGTCAATTACTATTTCCCTTTCACACAGGGCATCAGTACTGGCTCCACTCAAGGCCCTGCCTACTTAAAAGTTTGTCACACATTATTTTTTCCTGTCCTGGACAAAGTCTGCCTAGAGGTCCACAGTGGCTGCCTCAGAGTTCTCTTCTGGCGACTGACAGTTTCACCCTTGGATGCGAGACCAAGGTTGTAGTGGGCTTACCACCACAAAGGAGCGATTTCCCAAAGCAGCCTCCCCTGGTGGATCCCGCAGGGCCAGGGATAAATAGAAGGACATAAGCAAGCATCTATGGGGGATTCTTGCCAGGCATCAAGCCTAGCAACAAGGCAGAAACTCCACAGGAATTGTCCGTGTATTGTGAATAACGTTTCCAAAGCCCTGCTTCTGGAATAAACCATACCAACAGATGAGGTTTAGCAGATGCAGGTCCCTGCACTGTGGACACCTGCCTGGAGGTAAAGACAGGGAAAGGGCATCAGGGAAGGCTCTGCAGGTCTGGCTGCCACTGGTGCCATGATGCCATGTCAGAGCATTCACCCTGGACAAAGAAAGGACTCACTCATGCTAGAGGCCCAGGCAGTGTCCTGCCAAGGCAACAAGAGGGGCATCTTGGAAGCTCATACTGCTTTCGTCTCTCAAGACTGGCATTGGGACTAGCCACGTTGTGAAAAACAGTCCATGTATAGCCACTCATATCACAATTCATGGAGTTCTTGAAAACCAGCTACACTTCTTAGCAAGGCAGGGCAGGCTCCATATCTCCCTCCCTCTAGAGATAGCTGTCAGGATCTGGTGGAGCAGGAAGCTTGGCCCACCATGACTCAGCTCTTTTGGGACAACACACAAGGGCTCCCTCCGGCAGGTGTATTCTATAGGATGTCACCCCATCACAGCCCAGATGTATATTCCCTCCGGCCACCAATTCAGCAGGCACAAGATTGCCATTGTCCTAGGCACCTCCCCAGGAGCAGGGACCCTCCGTCCACAACTGACAAAGATAAGCAACTGATGACCCCTCAACAGCAAGGCTAAAATGAATTCTCAAAGAAAAAAAAAAACACAGCTCTCATGGTGCTTTAGTAGATCAGTAACCACTCCCCGGGACACACCCACCCTGCAGTCTGAGCTCTGCACCTGATCTTAAGTGCAGTTTAATATGTACTCTTGGCTTTCCCTGCAAGGAAGTAAGAGATTTATAATATAGATAGGAGACAGGAGGCTTTGCCTCATTTAGGCTGTTTGCAGGAGAATGATGGCCAATTTGGAAGGCTCTGGAGACAAAAACAAAGCCAGCACTCCACTGAGCCCACACAGTACCTCTACCAACTTTTAGGTGGCAGACTTATAGATTAGCATGAGAAGTGAGCTTTATCTCTATTCAACACTCTAATAAATCCTCGCAATCATAAGAGCAGCTCCAAGTCCGTGGTACCAAGCCCCGTGTTAAGCCCTCATTGGTTTCTCTCATTCAAGCTGTACCAGCCCCACAGAAGAAAACACCCCTTTCATAGAGGAAGAACTGGGAGCACAAAGGGTCAAGAAGCCACAGGTAGCGAGAGTGAGCAGGACTCAAACCCAAACAAGCAAAGGCCTGAGCGTCCTGCCATTCAGCATGCTGCCCTTGACCACTGAACATCCACAGAAAGGTGTGCAAGTGCCACTCCCTGTCACAGCCAGGAAATGCTCCACCAGTGCTGGTGCCTCAACCCCCATTTCCTAGGAGCTCTCATTTCCTGTTTCCAAGTCCAGAGGGTCTTATCTGCAGATATACCCTGAAGCAGCCCCTCGAAGGAAGTCCTATGTTAGAAGACTGTCCCTTCTTCCCACCTCTATCAAGGTGAACCTAGGTTCACCTGGGCACCTTCACCAATGAGGCTTCCTTCCAAAGCCAGAGCTGAGGATGGGGAGGAGGAGCCAGGGGAGCCCTACAACCCCTGGGTCAGCAGGATATTTAACACCCTAGAGCCAGCAAGGGGGCGGGGATGGCAGCCTGACACTGCCCTTGCACCTGTGGGTAAAGGGCTACACGTCCAGCCTTCATCTCCCTAGAGGCTGGCTAAGACCAGTCTACACACCAGAACCAGATGTCATGCTCTCCTCATCTGACTTGCCCTTGGGAGGAAGTGGCATTGGGAAAACCTGAGAGCCATGCTTTGAAAACTACAGGGCAGCTTGTGACAGAATGGCAGGAGGAGGCTCTGAAGGCACAGGCAGGTTCACACTGCCCCTGCCGGTATGGGCAATCCCAGAGGGTTCACCCAGTAAGAACTCTGAGGAAAGAGCCTGTCTCCCCCACCCCCTCTGTCGGGGTCCTGCTGGCAGTAACCCAGTTGAGTGAATGGAGCTATAACCGGATGACGGACTTACTGCTCTGAAAAGTATGTGTTGGGGGGGAGGAAGGGCTCAGCGTCTCCCTGCACCCTGCAGAGGAAGGCAAGTTGAGCTGAGAAAGGCCCCAGTGGGAATAGAAAGCATTCAGGCTACTGGGTTTGTCTGGGAATCCTGCCTCGTTGTCCAGTTCCCAGATGACAAAGAATGCCTTTCCTCATTACATCTCATCACTGTCCTCTCTCTGCCTTCTTCCATAAGCCATCACCTCCAACACAGAGAAGGGTGGGAATCTTGCTAGGGGCCTTCCTAGGGGCCTTTTTCATCACCTTCAAGTTTTTACCTTACTGTGCTCTCCCCTCCACCTTGTAAAGGTGGAAAGGAGACTCTGCTTAGATTCCTGGAAAGAATCCAAGAGTCAGGAGGGAGCTAGAAGGAACCTGCTAACAAGTTTGAAAAATACTGATCCAAGTCATGGATGGTCAGGAGTAGGCAACAAACCCTAGACAACTTCCTCCTCCTCTCCCAAGGGGGCGGTGCTTCTTGCCACAGACACCAAGATGGGATTATTTCTCAAGAAATTAAGTGACAATAATAGACCTCAGCTTACTCCTGGGACAGGGGCAGGAAATGACTTTCCTTCCCCCAGCCAGAAAAAGAGTCTTCTGCAAGTGGCCACCTACCCCACAGGGCTTCTCCCCTCCTCCACTAGACCCAGCACATCTGTGCTCTCTCCTAGTGCCCAGGCTTCCTTCACCAACTGGGGCCCGACCTTGGTTAAAACAATCAGTCACAGCTGAAGGGGGAGCCCTGCGAGGCTGGCCACAGGCGCCAAACCCCTCAGAGCCCAGAGCACCCCCACACCTGCCTCTGCCAGGAGCCCATGTGCCCAGGGAAGCCTGCTTGTCCATGTTCCCTGACCGGATGGCAGCCAAGGCGGGGAGGTGTCTGTGCTCTCCATTCTGCAGAGGGCCACGCTGAACAGGTCTGCTATCTGGCCCCTAGCTGGGCCTGAAAAGAGCTAACCCAGCTTCCCAGATGGTGTTCATCATTTTCTTCCTCTGGCTCATTGAGGGAAAAAAAAAGGCAGAAATGCACCCTTGAGTCACTGATTGTCCTTTGTCAGGGAGACCTGTGGTTGGCCCAGAAAAGGAAACTTCTCCACTCCAGCCTTCTGTAGAAGCCACATCACAGTGCCATCCCAAATCTCTGTTTTTCAGTAGTGTTCCCAAACCCAGGGGCTTGGCCTGGACTCCCCCCACCTTCTACCTCCTGGGCCAGGTGACCAGCACTCAGACTTCAGAACAAAATGAAATGCTTTCAAAGAAACCTCCACTTCTTGGAATAAAAGAGGACAGATGCTTCCCAGGCCTTCTGGGCACCCGCCTGCTGGGCCAGTAGAGGGTTCTGGTAGAAGGGGCTGACCTCAGAAAGAAGGCTCCCAGCCCCAGAGGACACTCAGCATCAGAAACTGGACCTGAACAGTTCCCACATGCTCAGGTCAATTGCTCAGGACCATCTTCTCCTTCCTTGATTTCAAACACTAGAGAAGCCAGGTTCATCAGAGTGGAGGTCGGGGATGGGGGTATGAACTGCATAGAGGTTGCAACTCCAGAAAGCTCCATCTGCCAGCTGCTTCTGGAAGGATCCAGACCAGGATGACACCTGCGCGATCCCAGTGCCCCAAGTCTCTGCCTTGCTCAAGCCTCATACCATTGCCATCAGCATGACCTGCCTCCTGCTGCCACCTCCCACCCCAAAGCCTCAGAGCCTAAGGCCACTTGCAGAGGAGAAGCTGAAGAGGCCACGGGAATCAGCTGGAAGTACAGCACTTACACCCTACCAAAAGGGAGTGACTTCCAAGTGCAGAATTCAAACACCGGTTGACAACCAACCAAGGCATCCATCTTCCCAAATTGCCCTCACCTGGCTGACTGCTGAGATTTCAAAGATCTGCTAGGAAAATGCCCCACCCCCACGGGTCCAGCCCCAGCTGTTCCGTGTATGCTCCATCACCAGGTAGACCCTCCCAAGGGAGGAGGAGGACATGCAATTCACACAGGACATGTACAGCTGTCCTCTCACTCTTGAGTGAGACCAGCAATAGACCTCTCCTCACACACACGGGGATAAAAAAAATTGGACGCTTCTCATGTTTATGCTCCATCTGTGAAGATCCGGAGATCACTAAACATTGTGAAATCCACCCGAGCAGCACTGGGTAGGGCCTCTGGCCAGACCGAGCCCATGGAAGATTGATAAATCCCCATTTCCCAACTGCTCAGGGCCTGCTACCTTTCAGCTTTGGACCCCTCCCCCGACTCTTCCAAGAGGCTTGTCAGAAAGGTCAGCGCCTCCGAGCAGCCCCGAGCCTCTGCAGCTTCTTTGGCCTCTTCCCCCGCCAGGGCAGGGTCCCACTGCTGCTGCAGAGGCAGCTCGGAAGAGATGCCACCGGGCCGGGATGCCACCACTTAAATCTACCTTGGCTTTCAGCACCAACCCTGCCGGGGGCTTCCCCAGGGTCTGGCTGCGCCATAGTGAGGCCTCCTGCCCTCACCGGGCCTGGCAATATGGTGGCCCATGCAGCAGCTGGGCAAAAAGGCGACACGAGCTTCTGGCGCCTGCCCACCGTCCAAGACTGTCCCCTCGGTTTCTCCGTCCTTCCAACCACGCAACCATTTTCCATCTCTCTGGACTCCGCTGCCCACAACCCCCAGCCCCCAATCAAAGAGAATTGAGAAACCATCCTCTTGCACAAGAGCAGCTACTGTCTAAACGCTTTTTGATCGTATGCAATGAAGGGGGAACTGGGCACAGCCCCGGCCCCAGTAACGGAGCCAAGTTTCAGCTACCCCAGCCGGCCGGGCCCGCCCTTACCCCCCTCCTTGCCCTGTGGCCTTGGCGACTCGGGGTTTTCAGAACCTACCGTCTCTATCTTTCTCTTGCCGGTGATGGCAAGCTTCGTACCACCAAGAAGGAAGGAGGCAGAATAGGAGCCTTATCTCTCCTACGCACGCCACTTCTGCCTCTAGCTCCCACACGCCCGGCGTTATGTAAACGCACCTTCAGCCCCTGTCACAGTCCAGACTCGGCCCGGAGGGCCATGGCACTGCTCGACGTCCGAGGATTAGGAAGATATGGGGCAGCCAAGGGGCCTCTGGCCCTGCAGAGGCCGGGGAGGGGGAAGGTGAGCGGCAGTCGAATGCAAGCCACAAAATGCCGCGGCTAAGCAAAGGTCAGACGGCACAGAACCGCCTCGCCGAGCGGAGGGAACAGACATGTCTAACCTATGTCGGCCCCGCGCTGACCACCGCCGGGCAAGACACCAGGGAAGGAAAGCAAAGCGGGCCCGTCACGGCTCCGAAGACATGAAGGAAAAAAAAAAGCTACGTCGAACACAGGCCGCTGCGGCGGGCAGAGGGGAAACCCACGCAGGGTTGGCGCCGTGAGCCCGAGCTGCAGGGTGGGCGAGGGCGCCCCCCGGACCCAAGCGGCGGCTCTCGACTAAGTCCTGGGCCGCCAGCTCCAGCGGGAGGTGGTGGCAGCAGGAGAGAGGCCGGGCCAGAGGCAAACTCCCGGGACACGCACGGAGCTTCTTGAGTCTAGTCGCCGCGGGAAGCTGGGCTTGGCAATGCCCGGGGGTCGGGAGCGGTGCTGCCATGGCACCCCAAAAGCCCGAGCCGGCGGGCCAAGGGCGCCAGGGAGCTGCGGTGCACCGCAGCGACTTAGGCAGGCACAAGCAGCGGGAAGGAACACTGAGCCCTGGCCCGAAATAGCGCACCGTTTGTCCCAGCCCGAGGGCAACCTAGCTGGGGCTCCGAGCGAGCAGCTGTGGGTCCCAGCCCCGGCCAGAGACTTACTCTGAGGAGCCGCAGAGTCACAAGCATCGCTCCACGTCTGTGCAAATCCCGGAGCCCAAGCGGGTCAGCCGCCGCTGTACGCGCAGACGCCGGCGGCAGGAACCGGCAAGGCTCCCTGCGCCCCGCAGCGCAAGCTCCGCGCTGTCAGCTCTGCTCGCTGCCTCCGCGGCGATGTTGCAACCACTGCCTGGGAAAATGGCTTTTTTATGAATGGGAGGGCAGGCAGCGACAGTGCGCACGCGCGCAATCCGCGATTCTATGAATGGGTGGGCACAAGAGATCCCGTGCGCGCATGCGCCGCGCTCCTTTTTTTATGAATGGGGGGCCGGAAAAGAACTTAACCCGTGATGGCTGGGGCTGGTTCTCTCCGCTCCCAGGGCCGTCGTTGTTTTTTTACAAAGGGGTGGAGGTTGTTGCTTTTTTTTTTTTTTTTAATGAATGGAGGGCGGCGGCGACTGCGGCAGCTGGCTCAGTTGCGCTGGCTGCACCCCTCCCAACCTACGAGAGGAGGTAAAGGCCACCTTCATGCCACTGCGGGCCTGGGCTGGAGCCGTCCGCGTCCAAGGGGGGAGGGGAGGGGAGGCGGAGGGCGCCGTGGCTCCAGATCCTGGGCTGCCCGCAAGGCCGGGGGAGGACACACCTGGGCCCGCATATCTCAGTCAGCCGCAGGCGGTCCGCGGCAGGGCGGGGCGGGGCGGGCGGACCCCTGCTGGGCTCTTTCTCTTCTGGAGACCGGCGGCGCCTAGGGGCGTCGGGGGAGGGGTCTGGAAGCCGCGCCGACCAAGAATTGAGAAAATGCCGTGCGTCCTCTTCGACGAAAGGCGGAGTGGGGGTGGCCGAGTGATCCGATTCTTTCCCCAAAGCTGGAGACCAGTTCACCCCTCCCCTCCCCCACCCGCCCCGCCCCGCTTCTGGGGTGTGGACAGTGTCTGGGCCCAGGCCTCTTCCGGCTCCAGGACCCCCCGGGGCGATTCTGGCCACTCAGCCCGCATAGGCCTGGCCCTCACCTCCCCTCGCCCCACCGTTAAAGTCCACAGTGCCTGGTCTTCCGCCCGCCCTCGGCCGCCCTGGTTAAGTGTCCCCTTCCTCTCCTAGCCCCTGCTGGACTCTAGCCTGAGCAGCCGCTGTCCACTGCAGGCCCTGGGCTCGTCGCTGCTCTGGGAGCCCTCCCCAACTCCCTGCTTCCTCTTCGGGGATAGCGGGAGTCACCGACCACCGGTCAGGTGCATGGGTGGGGCCGCCCGCGCCCAAGATGCTGCCAGGGTGACGGCGCGGTTGGACAGCAAGGAAATGAAATGGCTGGGGACCCTTTCTTCGCTGGTAGGGGTGGGAATGGAGAACGAAGGGATCAGCGCCAGCTGCTAACAGGAAGCCCCGGCGATTGGGCCTTACTCCGGGAAAGCGAGGAGCCAGCGCTAGAGGCCCATTCCCTCCCCGGGGGACAGAGGCTGTGGTCCCCGGGGACTGAGGTAGCGGGTAGGGGGATGCTTCATCCTGTAAAGGGGATATGGCCTGGGGCTGAGCCCCCTGCAAGGTGGCGTCGTGCTGCCTCTGCCTTCCCCCGTGGGCTGCCAAGCTGCCTTCCTTTTTCCTCCTACGCCACTACTGGTCTGCGCTTGACTTGTAGGCACAGGAGCCCCAGCCGAGTTCCCCCACTGAGCTCTGAGGCTCTGGATACCCCCGCACCCACCACGTCCCACTCACACCCCGCTACCAAAACCCAAGGTCACCAAGTTCTGGTCTAAAATGCCGTGTCACCCATCCCACTCACCAGCCTGAATCGCCGTTTCCGTGGTACCCAGCTGCTGGACTGCAGAAGGCTCTCCCGGGGGAGCCTCAGCCTTCCAGTCCGGGCCAAGACCTGCCTTGAAAGCCAGGGCAGATGTCTCCCCCAGGACAGTGGAGGGGGGAGGCGGATATTACAGGTGCTCAGGACTTCCCTTTATGGGTAATGAACTTGAGCATCACCACTTCCGTTTGACAGGTGGAGAACTTGAGGCGCCAGAGCCTGCACCTGGCCGACGGAAGGGGCTGCTGAATTGTAATGAGGATTTTCTGAGTCTTTTCAGTGCAGCTCTTCCTGCTTTGCTCCCTTTGCTCGGCCTCCCAGGCCTGCAACCCTGAGTTTTGCATGGCATCCATGCACTGAAGCAGCCACGCTTTCTGCAGCCGCAGAAACTCCTTACTCTTAGGAGTTAGAATAAATGAATCCTTTTAATACTAAGACAGCAAAAGAGGATGCAAAGAGGAATTGTGCTAGGAGGTCCTGTCTTCTTGATTAAAATAATTAACCCAGAGACCAGTGGTGGAGTTCCATTTCCTGTTCTTTCTCTTAATTTTCCTCAGGGAGGAGTGAGGAGATTTCCCCCCCTTCCCCACTGGCGGAGGGGGTAGGAGCAAGGGTGGGGCACTCAGTCCTGGGATGGGGGGCAGATTCTGATATCTAAGTACCAGAGAGCACAGGGTGTTCTGCTCGGAACCTCAGATGAAAAGCAGTTTGGGGTAGCAGTTGGAAATTCAGCCATTTGAGGGTTCTATGCTGAAGGGTGTCCTGCCCCCTAAGAATTCCACAGTGAGGGGCAGATAGCCCTCCTTGCCCCCGTGAGGGTGCGCCTAGGGAGACAGAGGGTGTGATGTGAGGACACACTAACTGGTAGAGGAAAGAACAAGTGTGCTTGGAGGGGCTGGGCAAACAGGTGTGTGGGAGACATGGTGTGCATTGGGGCATCAGAGATGTGTGGAGGGAGGGCTTCTGTAGTGGGTTGAGACTGGAAATTGGAGCTCAGGAGGCACAGGACATCTGGGGAAGGAACCTGTCCTGTAGACAGTCTGGCAGGGTCAGAGAGAGCCTGCTGAGTAGTTCAGAATCTCTCAGGCGGCCCCACCCCAGGCCTGGGGACTACTGATGGTGGTGAAAGGACTGGGTGAAAACTAAGTGGGGTGTGTCCAGTGCTTGCTCTCCTGGTCAAGGACACCACATTTATTCTTGTGCTTGAGAGGCCAGAACCTGGTGCAGAGTTGTTTGTTTGTTTCTTTTCCCTTTTTCCTTACTTAATCTGACTGTGTTTATTCCAAAGCTTCCACAGATCTAACCACCTTGGCTGGTGGCAATCTCTCAAGGATCAGGACCTTCATTCACTCCCAGCAAGCAGTGGCTGGCAAGGTAGAGAGGGTTCCAGGTAGAGCTTTGTGAATGAAGCTTCTGACTTCACCCAGGATCACAGAGATGAGATAGAGGGAGTAAGCAGAAGCAGGGAATTCTCTTTCAAGGATGAGGATTCTTGAAACCCTTCCTGGGTGCTACTGCTGGGGTTCATAGGCTTTCACACATAATGTGGCTTTAAAGTATGTTATTGGGTCAGAAACCTGAGGTTCCATTTTATTTATGAATTCCACCAAGCCCAGAGCCAGGTGTTAGGGTTACAGTGACAAAGGATACCTCTTGTAGCCAGTATAGGGAGCTTACATACAGTGGCTGTGCTATGGAAAGGAAATGGAAAAGTGGGGGTGGTGAGGTGCTTCATCTCTTGAATCCATCAGCCCCTCCTGCTAGGTTCAGCAGACATTTTGCAAACTTGTAGCAAATGCTAAGTCCCACCTCCACAAACATTACCTGCCATGACCTATGCAACAATCGCTACTGTTTATAGGCAAGTAGGAGAGAAAGGCAACCAACAAATAGTTGATCCAAGAAAGCCAACACCAAGGATGCATACAAAGTATGAAGGAGAGGGCCACAGCCCAGGGCCTTGCGGAAGCAGCCTGGGAGCTCAGATCTGTAGACTCGGTGAGATTGGACCCAGGACTGAGAAGGCCCTGCTTTGAAGGAGGGAGAGCTGTGCAAGCTTCTAGGCTCAGTGTGTCCTGCTGGTTCAGCTTTGGGGTCTGGGAAGCTTGACAAGAGGTGCAGGTGACCCTGCAAGTTGCCTCAGTTTGACCCTCTGTAGCATGGAAACAAAAGCTTGTATGAGGGGCTGCACATAAAACACCTGGATGTATAGATACAGGCTGAATGATAACCGATTGTGTCCAGCCATTCTGATATAGGCAGTGCATCTGAATTTTAAGAGGAACTCATTCATCTGGGGACATCAGAAATGCAGAAACCTTAGTGGACAATGCATGGCTCCAGCTTCCTGTGTGAAGCTAAGACCCTGAGATGGGGCAGCAGTGGATTCCTGCTGTTCATGTGGGAGACCTGAGTTAAGTTCTGGGTTTCTGGCTCTGGCCACAGTACAGTGCCAACTTTTTTAAGGCACTTAGGAAAGTGAAGTGGTGGATGAAAACTATCTTTGTCTTTGTCTCACTATTTCTCAAATCAACAAAATATTAATGGCTACAATAACCTCAGGAATGTAAGTGCATCCTAAAATATAAAAGAAATCACTTAACAGAATGCTAAAAACAGACCATAACCATTATTGCTGCTTTAGTCCAGTCTGCAGGACAAGGCTTGGGTATGCAGCTGTGTGGGTGGATATCTGGGGTAGTTGACCCAGGGTTGGTTTTCCCATGACCAATAGTGGCAGATAGTGTGATGCTGGATACATGCACTGTTGGAGCTGTCTGGTATCAGTGTGGGGGTGAGGGTGCTATGCACTTGCTAACTTTGCATTGTTCTTAATCATCACAGCTTCCTAACAAGGAGCTAGACAGCTTCAGAGGGGGGCAGACTCCGAGTGGCCTCCTGCTTTCAAGAGACCTAGCGCAAAGGCTGCTGGGCAACCACTGCTAAAGTGCTCTGGTTATTCTGTGTGATAGGGAACTGCAGACATGTCCACTTGGTCACGCTGCTATGGGCTACCAGGCTCCTCTTCCTCCTGGACATTTGATTTTTCCTCTGCTGAACAGAGTAGGCATACCATCTAGGTGTGAGTGTAAAATCAGGTTTGCATTGTGCCAGCTTTGGTAAAGAGAACAGAGTGCCTTGTCTGTTTCGCAGGTGCACGCTTGGTCAGTGCAGAGCAGCCACTGTGGACAGAGATGAGAAGATGACAGGATGGTTGAGGGCGGTTCCCTCAGGCCTTACTAACTCAGCGCAAATCCCAGGGTCCCATGATAAGGTGGCAGGTAAGCCCTGGCTCAGGGGGCTGATGTCTAACTGCTGAGAGATCTTTAAACAAACAAAAAAAGATGTTTATTTCCTTGAGAGAGGGTTACAGAGAGAGGGAGAGGCAGAGGGAGATCTTCCATCTGC